TATATATATATATATATATATATATATATATATATATAGTAAGCAAGAAAAGAACAACACTTTATTACTTATAATTACTTATGTATACATAATCAGGGATATAAATAAAACAAAAATAGTTGCAAAAGCTTATCATAAAATTATGTATTTGTGTCACTATTAACCTATAATAATCATTCTACATGCAAACAAAAAAAGAGGTAAATTCAGGTAAAAATGAAATAAAATCTTTCCAAAGCTGCAAAAAAAGTTTTGATATTGTCTCCGACCCTACACAGGCCAGAGCTAAATATCTAAATACCATCATTATTCTCAGTGAATCCTTGGAAATTGATGTCCCAAGATGCTCGCTGTCCAATATGACTGAGTTTGAGCAATTTTCCAAGGAAAATAGGAAACATTTTCTCTAGAAAGAGCTGATGGGGTCCCGAAGGAAATAATTGATTATTTGAGGCTGTTTCACAGCAAAAAATGAAAAGTTTAAAAGAGGTTGAAGGCTTTTCCAAGGAACTGTATATTCTCTTAAAATGAGATGATTCCTAAGTAATATATAAACCGTTTTGTGATGCAGGACCAGATGGTGACTATCATGCATCTGGTACGCCAACATTTGGACAGAAAGAGGAGGACCTCCCACTATGTACACAACCACTCAAACACATAGAAAACTGGAGCACCTATAAATGTATAAACATGATGAGAAGACTCATGGTCAGGCTGTAAGTGTTTACTCCAGCTGTAAACTCCCCTCCCTCGGCCAACTAATCACAAACAGACCTCCAGACTCTTGAGCATTCACAAGTGCGAGTGTGAGTGTGTTTTTATGAGATTCGAGGGAACTCAGTCTGTTCTTTATCCTGTTCCATATAACTTCAACCCCTCCACATGTTTGAGATTAAATGGAAGAATACATCATAGTTCTCTGTAAGAGGTGCATGAAAACCAAGCAGGCCTTCTTATGCGTTCAAATCCTCTGATGCCAAACGGACATTAGAAAACGGTGGAGTTTTAGAGACTTCAGCAAACTCTTCTAGCATCGTAATGATTTATTGAGGCGCACAGCAGCTGAACTGGTGCAAAAGGTCACCGGCTGCGCGTGCACGCGGGATCCGGCGGAGCCACGGCGCCCCCTCGCGGAGAGCGACGCACATTGTGGTTTGTTACGCGCTTCTTGGAGGAGGGATCAGGAGTTGAGGCTGGGGCTGGACCGGGACGGCAGGGCGAAAGGACGGCTCTCTGCTGCGGGGAGAGAGCCACATCCAGAAGCTTTTCTTCCAAATCTCCCCTTTTTCTCTCCCAGCTTTCGTTCCAGTGGAAATGAGGGCATAATCGGCTGGGGGGCCACTACATACAACGGTTAGAAGTTCCCAGCCGTTTAGGTAAGATGCGCTCTTTTACGCACAGCAGCTCTCCAGATTTGGTTGTGCTCATGCAATTCTTCTGGTGAATCTGATCTCTATCCTATTTCTTCTTCTTTATTTTCCTCTATTTGTGGCTGTGAGCTTCTTTTTGTATCCTTATCTGGCAAACTTTGAATTGCGCACACATGTCATTAGAAAACCTCCAAACTTTTTCAAATTTTTGTTTCTCGTTTGGCTATACTGATTTGACCCTTCTGCGTTTATATTGTATGTTTTGCATCTGCACAATGCGGTTTTATGATAAAAGTACTGGTTTGGGGGAATACTGGAAACATCTGCAGGAGCAGCCTCTCTCCAATGCGTTGTTAACTGTCCGCGAGAGGGAGCCACAGCAAAGCGCGCAGCTTCCAATTTGTTGAAGGGCCATGTTTAGTAAAAGCACAATTTAAGAAAACCTAAGAGAGATGAGTCAGAAAACAGACTTCCAACACTTGTGGGGGGAAAAAGTTCCTTCCATGTGGTTTAGATATTTAGGCTCTGTTGACAGATTATTTTATTACAAGCTTTATAAAATGGACAAATTATTATGCTGCATTTTTCTCAAAAGATTGAAGTTTAGTTGTGGGATTTTTTATTTTTCTGAACACTACATAAGCTCAGAAAGCAATCAGATGGCAGTCAATGTCACTTTGATATTGTAGAAAAACAGAATAAAGTTTTTTTCTTTGGCTCTTTCCATTAAGTTAAACCCCAGGAGGTGTTGCTGGGTCCTGCAGGTCATGTATTAACTTTTACTTCAGCTTTGCAGTCATTGACTGAAACTTAACCAATTGGTACTGAACCATTTAGCACATCATAAAGATCAGAGAACATGCTTATATTAATTTAACTTATATTAACTTATATTAATTTAACTGGTACAGACTTACAGCTGTCTAAGTAAATGTTTGCTTGGAAACAATCAGGGACACTCAAAGGAAACCCACACATGATAAAGCAAATACCCTCCTGTCCTTACAGGATATGCCTGGATTCCAAACCAAAGCTTTGAACCTGAATGTGGCTTCACCGCCAAGCCGCATAGTTTGTTCTAATCTGATAAGGTCTAATTTGTTAATTTTTTCCTGTGACGATCTGTGGAATGGAGCCAGATTTCCCATACTGAGTGTACACACTGGATTTAAAACGGAGTAGCTCAAATTAATGCCTCCTGCAGGCAGTAAGGATTCATGCATGAATAGCGGGCGGGGTGATCCCATCTCTCCGCCTGTAATGAACTTTTCTTTTTCATCCTCTTCTTTTTTGGTTTATATTGTGAAGCTCTTATGTTTTGCCAGTTTAAACAGATTTTTTATATCAAAGAGAACCTTAAGATGTGATTTTTTTCACATGACTATCAGTTGAATATGATCTGTTTAAAAACACAAAGATGGCTAAAAGCTCTCAAAAAGCTTCCTTGTTTGGAAGAAATTAGGGACTGATTTGAAACAAGACAAATAATCTGTGTAAAAGTGTGTATAAAGCCATTTCTGAGTCTTTGGGACTCCAGCGAAGCACAATGAAAGCAGTTATGTATAAATTGAGAAAACATGGACAGTGGTGAACCTCTCTGGGAATGACTTCTCTTTCAGAATGCCTCCACAACTAGGTTAACAATTCATCCAAAAGGTCACCTGCAAACCAAGACCAACATCTAACTTAGTGCAGGCCTCATTTCTTTGGATAGGTTTATGATTCAATGAATCAACATCAAAAGCAAGACAAAATGTTGTTCATGGTAGAGTTTCAGGATGAAAACCAGCTCTAATCAAAAAGCACTTTTAAGACCCTTTAGAAAAATACTCTGTAGCGTGATAAGAAAAAAACAAAGCTTTTGGGATTTGGGTGTCACATTAAATCTTCTGCAAAACCGATTCAGCAGAAATAGGACTTCATACTTACAGTTAAACAAAGTGATCATCTGCTGCTTTACTACCTCAAAAACAGACCACAGGACTCTTAGTGTAATTGTTGGAACTAGAGCTAAAAAAAATTAATCAGATTAATCGTGATTAATCAATTATTGAAACAATCGTCAACTCAGTAATGGATTAATTGTTAACTGGAGTTTAGAGACTCTAAAACATGCTTTTAGCTGACAGAGTGACTCACTTAGAGCATGAATTATACAAACATTGCAAAAAGATATACATATATAAATATTGCAAAAGATATGATTTTTCTTTCAACAAGCTGTATCCAGAACTCCTCAAGTGGAAAAGTTTTAGTTTCATCTGGTTTAATTAAGTAAAAAACCTTCTTTAATGAACATTTCACTATCCGATTATTAATCGATTTATCCAAAAAATAATCAACAGATTGATCAATTAGAAAAACAATCTTTAGTTGCAACCCTAGTTGGAACAATCCGTTGTACCAGAGAATCCTAAAGGAGAATATCAGCGATCAATGTGTGATTAATACACTGCTTGTTGGGTTATGAAGCAGACCAATAATCCAAACAATGTCCACTCCAAATGCAGGATTTGAGTTTTGTTCAAAATGTCAACCTGTGACCTGAAGTTTAATTGACAATTTAAGAAAATGTTTGGTAAGGGAGAAGTGGACTACCTCTGTACGGCACCCGGGGAGCAGTGTGGGGTTAAGGGTCTTTGCTCAGGAACCCAGAGTGGCAGTCAGTTGGAGTGGTGCTTGAACTCAGAACCTCTGGATTCCAAGTGCAATGCCCTAACCACCAGGCTACCACATCCCCAATTACAGCGATTATTTAATGGCTATACAAATAAGTAATAAGTTAAGTTGGAGAGCTACCAACATTTTCTTCCCAGAACTGGTGGCTACAACAAGACCCTGGGTTGTGAGCCATTTCACCTGTATCAAAAACAGACCTTAGCTGCAGGGTAATCTAGCTGTGACAGAGATGACAGGGCAGTAGAACAACTTTTAAACCAATTGTTGGCAAATTCTGAATTTGAATTATTTAGCTGTCAGGCTAATTAGGCTCAATCTGTTTGTTTCAAACAGGAAGATTTAATCGGTTTAATGGGGGAAAAAATGCTCAAAAAGCAAAATTTTGTTCAACTGAAGGGAGAACAGCTTTTCTGCCATCAAGTTGAATCTCATTCTGCCTTGTTGAATATTTTAATTGTAAACAAGGCACAATAGGCAGAAATTCAGAATTTTACAAACAACAAACTAATACTACATCATAGAAACATACGCTGTCTTGTTTTCATGTTTAAGCAGTAAAATAATTTCTTGTTACTTATTCTCTGTATTTGCTTTTTCCATAACTTTAATTTTTTGCAAGTGACTGGTATGGGTAGGCAGGAGACAAACAAACATAAAGTTAATTCATGTAGTCCTTGTTTTTTTCTCTATGTGTTCAGACAGCAGAAGAACAAGATGATGAAGTTGGAGGTCATCGTATTCTGCCTTCTCTTCGGCGCCCTGACTCATGCTAAGAAAGCAGAATGCAATGGCGAGTACCACCCTCTGGATGATAGCTATAGATGCAGCGCCACCTGTGATGCCTTTTGTTTTACACCAATTTTTCACGCTGTTGACTGGTCTTTGTTTCTTTCAGAGAAGAGAGAATGTCCCATACAGTTGTACTTCACCATAGACACGTCTGAGACCATTGCGATGCAGGAGCCGCCCCCTGGAGCGCTGGTGGAAAGCATCAAGGTATCTCTATTACTGAGCTAGTTTTTTATAAATTGATAAGAGCATACAGTTTTGATGCTTATAAAAGCCAGTATAAAGTGTTGAAGGAAACTGTAAAGTCATTAATTAAAAAAACACTGCAGTCTAATATCAGTATATTTTCTGTAATTGGGGTTTTGCTTAACCAGAAACATTTTAGTCTTCCTGGGACAAATATGTCAGTCTTAGAGTGAGGTGGTTTTTAATATCATCAACACAATAGATGTTGACTGTTTCCGAATGTCCGCCCTAATCACTATTGGGGCACTATATAGTGGTTACACCATTTTAAATGAGTGTCTGAATGTCTAGTAGAGGAAAAAGTAGTGCACACTAAATTTCCCACAATATACCTTGAAAAGTAGTGATCATCCATGGCCACTAGACGAGCAGAATGCTTTGCGTGGAGGGGTCTCCTCCCAAAGCATTCTGGGATTTGATGTCACAGCAACCCACAATCACCACACGATGTCACCACCCAACAGCGGCAACTAGTAACAAAGATGTTCAGAGGTGGGAAGAGTACCTAAAATTTATACTCAAGAGTAAAAAAAGTACTTAAATGCTGAGTAATTTTTGGCTAATCACATCTGAATTTTTGTTTAAAAGGTCATTATCAAACAGGCAGTTATGTGTAAACTTTTAACTTAAAGTCTAAAAATAAAATAAAATACAAATAAATAACAGCATTATCAGTAACAAATTTGTGCTGTAAAAACACTTTACAGATCAGTTGTCATGATCTCCTGATTGAGATTTTTGTTTCCGTTCCAAGTTTTAACTCTACACAGTTTACAGTTACACTTTGATTAATTTCAATCTTTGCTTTCTAAGTCATTAGTTTCATTTCCATCCAAGTTCCTTTCTAGTTTTGTTTAAGCACTGTTGTATATTTCTTGGTTACTGTCTGTTGCCCCCTGTGCCAGCCTCCTTATAGCTCCCTTCTAGATCCTTCTGTCCACACCTGCTCCCAATCAGCTGATTTCTCCAGTCATTGTTCTGTTTGGCATATATACTCCTCTGAAGTTAGTTTGCTGGGTTCTCTTCATTCCCTTCTTAATCTACATGTCCCCCCCCTTTATTCTTGTTCCTGTGTTCCTTGATTAGTTATTCCTGGATTTTATGCTTCTGTTGCTAACACCATCATTGTTAAATCTGCAAGAAACCACCTCAGCTTCCATCTCTGCATTTGGGTCCTCTACAAACCTCCACTCTACTTGACTTAAATCTCCTTAAATGGATTATTAATTAAATGTATAAAACCTTTTAAGTTTTTTTTAACATACAATCTTTTAAGTATTCCTTTATGTTGGGAAAGAGCTTATCTACTCTTAACCTCTATCTACTCATTTTAACCTGATCTGCAAATAGCTCAGGTTACTCATGGTGGGTGGAGTAACCAGAAAAAGTACTCAAATAAGAGTAGCAATACTCTCAGAAGAAGTTTACTTGTGTAAAATTAAAAGTACAGCTACACCTAAAAATATACTTTTTTCTGAAGAGTAACTGAAGTAAATGAGCTGGTTACTGTCTACCTTTGGTAATGTTCTCATTATTATCCCTGATATACTTAGATATACGCAAATTCTTAATGTTGTATTTATTTTATAGAAAATTTTTGGATTGTCAATAATAGTGACCTCATATGTAAAAATAAAACATTTTCAAAGAAATTGTGAGCAGCATTCAGTAATTAAGATGGTTCTACATTTTTAAATGTGTGAGTGGAATCACAATGTGAAAAATAGGGGTAAAAGGCTGAGATGATTAATACTAAGACAGGAAAGTATAAAAGAAAAGCATTAAGTTACAGAAAATATTAAAACTTCTTTTACTGATGTGGAACATTTTAGTAATGGTTTTATGTTAATCTTAAAATTTTGTACATGACTGTATAATAGGAAAAACATAGATGAATCCAGAAAGTGGCATCTACCCAAAAGCTTGTCATTTCTAAACGGTATCTCATTTCATTTTGTGCTTTTCTATAATGATCTGTCTCTTCCTTTCTGTAGGAGTTCACGAAGAGGTTTGTTGACCGTTTGAAAGATGAAGAAATCCGGGGTGTTGTTAAAATCAGCTGGCAAGTCGGAGGGCTGCACTACTCCCAGAATCAGTCGGTTTTCAGCCGTATCCAATCCAGGGACGAATTCAAAAAAGTAAGACCTATACACAAAACATTTTCACAGGCCTATTCCATTAAGCTCCATTCACAACCAAAGCCATACACATCTCAGATCCCTTTTAACTAAAAAAATAATCAAAAATATCTTAATAGATCTGCACCAGTCATTTAAGTAGAAAATTACAGTTAAAAAGGGTGTTGCTGATGCAAATACTAAAAGCTGTGCTTGCTGCCAACCTGGCAATCGATCCAGGAAGCTCTACAGCAACTCTTCAAAGCAATCAGCAATGGCGATCTGTCTTGATGGGAAATGCCCTTACCTGCAAGAGCAGCGGGCATTTCACCTACAGCAACATTCTCAGGACTTTATAAACAAGATTTTATTAAAAAATAAAAGGGAAAAATAGCCATGGTTTTTCAGTGGGAACATGTAGGTTATAATTCAGACCCGCATTAAATATCACAGGGAGCGGCCGGTTGTTCTTCTGTACAAAAGTAAACCTCCCGTTTTTTCTCATATTAACATTGTATGCTTACAATTCGCTTGGTGGGATAATGTTCTGCTTAATGTTCCCTTCATCCAGGGGAATATTAAACATTATTTAGATTAGCATCTCGTTAATGTGATGTATACGCTCACTAATACCGTTTCACACTGGTCGAAAAACCTATGTAAACCCAGGAGCAATCGACTTTTGGTGGCAGTGGGAACAGCTCATTGACGTGTGTCTACGCGTTAAACTTGCCTCCGCTCTGATCAGCATGCTGTGGGAACACCTGAGCCGGGTTGACCGCAAAATTAGGTGACATCATAGAAAGCAGCGTATGGATGTCGACACACCGCGCCAGTCGCTTCTGATCTAACAAGCCGAATTACCTCTGTTTACATTCAATAGACATGGCGGAGCACTGGTGAGAGGGATTCAGGTAGATAAAAGAGGCATATAATAAAGAATACTGACTATGCCATGGCTCCCGTCCATGTTGGTCTCCATTATTTACTTCCCTGATTTCCATCGCACTGTCGACATCATCAACACTCGGTCACCCAGCGTGATGCCGTCATCAGACACGCAGTGGTGGGGACAGTGACCACGAAGCTCGCCAGCAGCGAGTCAGACTCGGCTTTTCGGTCAAATATGAAAAGAGCCGGAAGCCGATTGTCAGCAAGTCAACCTGGTTTTGAAAAACCGAGGTTTCAGCGGGAGAGCAGCATGTGGCCACTAAAGGCACAAGAATATGTTTGAAATTTGGTTTTGTCATGGTAGATGTTTTTTTTTTGGTTGCATTTAGTAAAGATATTTTAGAAGAATGTAGGACTGGTAGAGTTTAATACACTTTGAGCTTTTTGATCATATCTTCCTGGAAGCTGTCATAGATGGGTAGACTGCAGACGTAAAGACTTAAAGGGAGGGACATGGTCAGCAGCAACGCTTACGTAGGCTGTGGCAAGAAATTTGGCCCCATTATATAACCAAGGACGGATCTTTATTATTTTATGGTGTATACTGATTTATACCCCTACTGATTGCAGTTAAAGCTAAGGTGTATGTCGCAGACATCTGTTTTTAGCTAATTTGTCTAAAAAATGCTAATATTGCAAATTAGTTTTCTATTCTTAACTGAGATTGATGGCATGGGCTTCTGTTGCTGTACTGTTTAGTGCATCATGAAATGGTGACGCTCAAGTGTTGTGGATATTTCAGCTCCTGCTGCCTTCCTATACCTTTAAAGTAGTCTGAAAATTAGCATCTTCAAGGCATCTTCATCACCACAACTGCTATTCACTGGTGTTTTTCTTTTTAAAATCTTAACTTGGTAAGCCAACTAAATAAGGTCTACATTTGTGTGACCACTTTTTCTATTATCTTTTGCTGCTGTAACACTACAATGTCCTTAGTGTGGGACAATGAAGGGATTTTCTATTCTAAAAGATTGTTGGGGATAATCCCTGCAGATTAATGTTTTATCACTGAGCATTCTAAGTCCATCCATCCATTTTCCATCATGCTTATCCCAAGCGGGGTCGTAAGGGGTTCTTGTGCCTATCTCCAGCTGTCTACTGGCGAGAGGTGGGATACACCCCGGACAGGTCACCAGTCCATCACAGGTCAACACAGAGACAAACAGGACAAACAACAATTCACACAGATACTCACACCTAAGGAGAATTTAGAGAAGCCGATAAACCTAACAGCAGTGTTAATTTCGTCAGCTTTTTTTAATTTAGTCTTAGTCACAATGACAAAAATCGATTTTAGTTTTAGTCATATTTAATCATTGCCTTCCCGATTTAGTTTTAGTCTTAGTCTGAATGACAAAAATCAAGTTTAGTCTTAGTCATATTTTAGTCATTTTTGTTTTTTTTGTCATTTTATCATTTTAGTAATTTTAGTCAACACTGTAAATAACAGAACTTCTGACCACACTCCTTTTTTAATCATATATCACACCATAGAGAATAAAAATTCTTCACACACAGCGTCTCTTTTTCTCTATTTTATTTATATCACACTGTGCAGAATAGAACTTCACACACCGATTCTCTTTTTAACATATATCACACTGCACACATTAAACCTTTTGTCGGCTTGTTTCATCATATCCATAAAGTCTTCATCCTCAATGGTCCTTGCAGGCAGGCCAGAACGCCCAATCAACTTTGCCATTGAGTTCTCCAGGGCTTTCTGCTCTTTGGCGTCGGGTTTGTACGGTGGGGGAGCTCCCAACATCTCTGCAACAGACTTCCCTTCCTTCCCCAACCTCTGATGTGGCTGGGGTGTCACTGTGTCAGGAATCTAGTTAGGAGGAAGATATTTAAACGATTAATATCCAGTGTATCAGTAAAAAATCTTTCTTCTATGACAGAGAGACAGACAGATACAGTCACAGGAAGACACACTCATCCACATGCATGCATGCCCGCACACACACACACACCCCTGTTCCTACTACTACAGGCCCACACGTTCCTTACCTTCTTCCATATGGCAGCATGTTGGCTACTCAGATGTCGCTTGAGATTCAATGTGTTCTTCCCTGCCATATTGAAGCCGCGGAGTCTTTGGTGGCGTCCTTCCTCTGGTGTTTTCCTTCGTGTTGTAAACGAAATGGCTCCATACATCCAGGCATTGTTTAACAAACCGCACACCGGTGTCTGCAATGACTGTGAAGTTGAGCTAGGTGTATAAGCCCTATGCTACTAACTCCACTACTGACTGAGCGGCGCGAGCCACTGTGGGACAGGCGCCATGTAGGGACAAACAGCGCAACAATGCATATTCTTCTATGAAGCTCAAGAAACACTTATATTAACAATTATAAATTAATTATAAACAATCACATTTCTTAATGTCCATTCGTGCGTTATCGTTTCGTCATTGGGAAAAAGATGCGTTGACGAAATATTTTCGTCATCGTCATGGTTGATGAAATTAACACTGCCTAACAGTCATGTTTTTGGAAGCTGGAGTGCCCGCAGAGAACCCGGGCATGCTCAGGAAGAAGATGCAAACTCTATGCAGAAAGATCCCCAGCCGGGAATCGAACCTGGAACCTTCTTGTTGCAAGGCAGCAGTGCTACCCACTGTTTCCACTGAGCAGCCACCATTCCTAGTCATTAACGTATATTCGCTTTTTGTTCCTCATTCTAATGCTGTGTATTTGTTTTGTTTTTTTCAGGCTCTTAGTACTATTGTATACCTTGGAAAAGGCACCTACACTGACTGTGCCCTCAGAAGGATGAGAGAGGAGATGCTACAAGCACCTTTAGAACACTCAAACAACCGTTTTGCTGTTGTAATCACTGATGGCCACGTGACTGGAAATCCGTGTGGGGGTATCAAGATGTCGGCAGAGGCAGCTCGTGAAAAAGAAATAAAGATATTTTCTGTGGCAGCATCAACACTAATTGAAGAGACCGGACTGACTGAGATCGCCAGTTCCCCGGCATCGGTCTTCAGGGACGACTTCTTGGCTGTGAATCTTAGCACAGGCCGCCCTGTCATACAGACTACGACGATAGACCGGATTATCAAGACGATGGTAATGCTCAAACATATATTATATATAAAATTATACATATATCATATATTAAATGTCATTTTTGACAAGAGTATTAATTTTTTTCTCTTTTTTTCTTACAGAGACATATGGCGTTTGTAGAGGTAAGGCCGGAGTATTATCATTAGTACCTTTGATACATTAAACAAATATCTATATTGGACTAAAATTGAGTCAGTTATATCCTTATTGACTGTTTCTCTTTGCATCACTAGTGTTATAATGTGTCCTGCCGGGAGACAGAGGGCCCACCTGGTCCAATAGGATATAGAGGGCAGAAAGTGAGTTTTACATGTACATACAGTAATAATCTAAACAAATATATAAACCCCTTCTAATTTATTAATTCTTTACTTTGTTGACCACAGGGAGCTAAAGGAGACAATGGTGAAGCGGGGATTAAAGGAGAAAGAGGTCGCCCAGGAGACCCCGGCATTGAAGGTCCTATCGGTCAGCCTGGTACTAAGGTAAAAAGCTCTTTAGTGACCACATTAATTAAGCATTGACTAGCATTACAATGGACTAAAATGGTTTGTCTTTTCTTCTCTTTGCAGGGTGAACCAGGTGCAAAAGGGGATAAGGTGAGATTTTAAATCTGTTTGTGGGAATCCCAACATCTTCTGTAGATCTTTGTCAAAACAACCGTTAATTGTGGTTTATTACTTTTCTTCTTTTTTCCTGAACTCAGGGAGAGATTGGAAGTCAGGGGAAACAGGTATGTTTTTCATAAGATTCAAATTTGTAATCTATCAGTATTGGTTTCACACTCAATTTCTCAATTTGTGCTCTTTGTGCCAACAGGGTGTGGCTGGTCTCCCAGGGCGTAATGGAACTGATGGACAAAAGGTGAAGTTTTGATCACAGAGCTTTTTTCTGATTATGATCTTTTAAACTAATCGATAGGACTCTTTAATGATGCAAATTTGTAACAATCTTTTCCTTCTTTCAGGGCAAAATTGGACGGATTGGTTCTCCAGGCTGCAAAGGAGACCCAGGCGACAGAGTATGAGATCTCGTATCATATAGGACTATTATAGCATCTCTGCTCCGTGATTTATAGTCTGTTCATGATCATGATCAAACGGTTTTCAGGGTCCTGATGGTCACCCTGGAGATTCTGGTGAGCCAGGGCCACCAGGAACGGACGGAGAAAAGGTATGTCCAATGTCAACGTTTTTCTATCAAAACTTTAATCTGTCTCCTATACTGCCCACAGTTAAAACTGTCTCCTTTCTAGGGTGACCCTGGGCGCCCAGGAAGAGATGGTCCCATTGGCCCAGATGGCGTGCCTGGACCAAAGGTTAACCAGAAACCGACTGTGAAAGCAGATATTCTCCTTGACGAAATTGTAAAATTTTCAGCTAAATTGTAAACTTCAATGTTTCAACTGCAGGGAGAGCCTGGAAGTCCTGGATCACCTGGCGAACCTGGAGCTAAAGGAAACCCTGTAAGAAGCTTAGGACAGATCATCTGTTCAAATATAAACCAGCTGTGCATGGTTGATTATTATGTTTTCTTTACTAGGGAGAACCTGGAAAACCAGGAGACAGAGGCGAGGAGGTAAGAATATCAGAATATCAATTGAATATATATTCAATTGTGTTTAAATGAATCAAATTCTGTATTTCTGCTGCCTGATTAAATTACCTGATTTTGTGTTTGTAGGGCAGAAAAGGAGACTATGGCCCCAAAGGAGACCCTGGATCAGATGGTAAAAAGGGTGAAAAGGTAAGCATATATGTTGTCTTTAAATCTGCTCCATCAAGCAAAATATTCATCTAATTTTGTCTCAGGGTGAGATGGGTCCAGAGGGACCAAGAGGAAACCCAGGGGAAAAAGGAAACAAAGGTGCAAAGGTAGAAATGGTCTAATTTATAACATTTTTAATATCTGGTAAAAATTATCTTAAATATACTTTTAGGCTTACTTCCTATATGAACACCACCTATTTTTAATCTAAACAGGGAGACTTTGGCTTACCAGGACCTAGAGGACCAGAAGGATCAAAAGGAGTCCCTGGAAAAGATGTTGGTTTCAAAAAATCCCATCGAGAAATCATTTTAAAAAGTCCCTTAATGCTTGCTGCTTCTTTAACACTGTTTGAATTTTAGGGTTCAGGTGGAGATCCCGGTGAAGTGGGACCGAGGGGAGAACCTGGACAACGAGGACCAAAGGTTAGACTTTATAGATTTTTCTTTGTGTCCCTAATTATGTCATTGTCTGTTTATCACAAATTGTATTTTACTTTCTCTGCAGGGAGACCCTGGAAGACCTGGCTTTAGCTATCCTGGGGCAAGAGGAGATCCTGTAAAAAACACCGTCATACGTCTTTAAATTTTCTTTCTCTGTCTAATAGGTTTAGCTGACCTGACACCTATGTGCCCATCTTTAGGGTGAAAAAGGAAACAAGGGCAGTCGTGGACCCCGTGGCAGCAGAGGAGACTGTGGTCAGAAAGGAGATCCTGGAAATAAAGGAACTCCCGGGGAGGCAGTCAGTAACCTCACTGATTAAAAATAGGTTCTGATTAACTTTACATCCCAATCAAGGCAATTCTTTTCATTTAACAGGGTGACCCAGGGCCCACAGGGGAGCCTGGATCAAGAGGAAGAAAAGGAGACCCTGGTCCTAAAGTAAGTCACATAAAAGTAGTCAGATTTATCTGCTGACAGCGTATTTATTAATAAACCAGATAGCACCAGGCTAAACGTATGCTGTCTTCTTCTACAGGGAGGTCCAGGCCCAGAGGGAGATCCCGGGCTCACAGTGAGAATACATGGTCTAATCACAGTTTCATCAATAAACACACAAACCCAGAGATTTTAAAGCTCAGGATTTTGTGTCTTTCTGCAGGAATGTGATGTGATGAATTACATCAGAGAGACCTGTGGATGCTGTGGTGAGTTGAATTATCAGTGCACAATCACCAAAAGCCTTATTTAATTCTTTTTTTTTATCAAATTAAATACATTTTCTTAACCTTCAGACTGCGAGAAACGCTGTGGAGCCTTGGATATCGTCTTCGTTATCGATAGCTCAGAATCTGTGGGTCTCACCAACTTCACCTTGGAAAAGAACTTTGTCATCAACACCATCAATAGACTGGGATCTTTTGCCAGCGACCCTCTGTCTGAAACAGGTTCACATGTCAAATTGAAATGCTGTGACCTTTAAAAGGTTTACCCGTCTCGGCACTCTAATAAGAAACCCTCTTACTTTACAGGCACACGGGTTGGCGTTGTACAGTACAGCCACGACAACACCTTTGAATCGATCAAACTCAACGATGAAAAGATCAACTCACTGACGGCTTTCAAGGTTTTTAAACATTGGAATAAATTGTGAAATGTACATTAGAGAACAATTTATTTCTGGTTTGAGCCACAGGTGGCTCTTTCATCCTATGGGCCTCATCCATCCATCCATTTTCTGTCACATCCTGCTGGGGTCACAAGGGGTGATGGTACATATCTCCTGTCAATGGGTGAGAGGCGGGGTAGACCCTGGGAAGGTCGCAAACAACCATTCATGCACACTTGCACCCAAGGAGCATTTAGGCAATCAACCTAACAGTCATATTTTTGGACTGTGGGAGAAAGCCAGAGTACCCGGAGAGAACCCATGCATGCACAGGGAGACGTGCAAACTCCATGCAGAAATAGCCCGGTCTGAGAATCAAACCCAGAGCCTTCTTGCTGCAAGGCAGCTGTGCTACCCAATGCTCCACTGTGCAGACCTCCTATGGGCCTCATATGTCTTTTTTAGACACTGCTTTAAAAGATTTTGTACTATATTATGAACCCCCTGCACTATTATCTATCTGAGTTGCATTTCAATCTCATTGGAATAGAAGCTGTTTTAAGTAAATACTGGTCGAGCATCACCTTCATATGCAACTGACACACATTCTTTAGAGACGTTCCCCAAACATATGCCTGAGTTCCTGATATTAAAACCTGCAGAAACTTTATTTTCATATGCTGGTAAACAGCTCAAGATGTATGAGGCATCAGCTTTACCTGCATCAGTGTCCTAATTATTTTATTTTGAAGTGCTTTAAACCACTTTTGATCTGAGCTTGGAGTGAGATTTCAAGCTCTGACAGCAAAATCAATGTTTTTAATCATAAAGAGAATATGGTGATGCATTTTCTCATTTCTTCAATTCAATATTTTTAATGAAAAATGAACAGATTCCATCCCTTTAATCATATTCCGAAATATGTTCGATACTTTCTTTTACGATCCGATACAGAGTAAAATACAGTCTGGTATTGTTAGTACCAATACGACACTCTTATGCAAACACAACTAATGTGTTTTTTTAAATGTTTAAAATAATGTAGCTGCTCTATAACAGTGGTTTTCAATCTCCCCCTTCTGGACCTTCTGTCCTGCATATTTAAATGTTTCCCTGACTTAATAAACAGGTGATTTACAGGCCTTTACAGCCATTGGTGTCTGTTGGGGAAGAATGCCATAATCTGCTGCAGCAGAAACACATCTAGAGCAGATAAAGTGAGCCCCATGTTGGAAAACCATTAATGTATGATATCGGATGGCTCTAATTTAAAAAACCTTCAAAATATTTATTTAGATGAATATATAATTATTGCACTAAATTGTCTATAACCATTGTTAAAAATATTAATCTAACAGTTATAGCAATTTGAAGTTAATAAAAGAACATATAGTTTATAAACTGCTGTTTTTAGCTATCCATTATATTTATTTTCAAAGGTTATAGCAACTCCTTCTGCAAGAATGCTTTATGCCTTTTAAAGCCCCACATATTCTGGCGCTGTAGCTGCACTGTACCTGCCTTCTATGTAGCAGCAGCAATAGCATCTGTGCTCTCTTCTGTCCTCATCATCAATTCTGCATATTGTGTGCTTTGGTTTAACCTGCAGTGTTTGACGAGGTTGTCATGTTGCAGTGACTTTCCACTGTTTTCCCACAAACATCACAGGTCGTGCTTTGGCTGATTGTGGAGCTAAAATATCTCATCGGAAGACTTCTTTTATGATCTGCCACTGTTTGTTTAAGCAGCGCATCACGTTGAAGAAACAGTTGCCATCAAACGTTTGCATTTAGGCAGTTTTCTTGTTAACATGCATTACCTCAAATTATTTTAGTACTAAATGGTCTGGTATCTATAGGTATCTATATAAGGCATCCCCAACTTCGGTCCTCGAGGCTGTGCTAAAGCAGGGAAACCTCTAAAACCTGCAGGACAGTGGGCCTCAAGGACCTAGGTTGGGGATGCCTGATCTATATCATAGTATCCACACATCACAGTATGTGCATGCATTGGTTTAAGAGTTAGAAATTCAAATTGTAGCCTGTGAGTGTGTGCACTTTATGAAATGCGTTTATGACACGGTCAATGCGTAAGAGTTGAGATCTCTGTAAATACCTCGTTGTCCTGTGCTCAAAATTCTGAATAATGCATCAACGTTTGGGTCAGGAGTGTTATCCTATGTCAGGATGTGGTAGGCCTTTGCTAATTTTGTTGAAATCTTACTGTATTGGTTAAAATATCAATGATACTGTCAGTTTTAAGCATCAGGAATCCCAGGCAAGTGAATCTGTATCAATGATGACAGCAGAGCATTATCAATATTAGCTTAAATGAGTGAAAATTGGGATGAGTCTGCTGTAGTTCTGCACCAGATTTTATAGAAGCAGAGTTTTTTAATAAGAAAGCGCTTATATTGATCAAATTGTGTAGGCTAATTGGAAGGTATGCAGTAAAATGAAGCCTGGGTATTATTTTCCTATGGCAAGATTATTTTCCTTTTTCTATTCAAATATAAAGGCAGACACATAACAGTGCAATTGGCCCAGCGTGATTAATCCTGAAGTTAAACACATATACACAAGAAAGTTTTTTATTCTTTGATTTTTTTTCAACTCTTTTAAAATATAAATTAAACTTGCCCTCTTCCTTCTTTTGTTCAGGAAGCTGTGAAAAACCTGAAGTGGATAGCAGGAGGAACTTGGACCCCATCTGCTCTAAAGTATGCCTATGACACCCTGATCAGAGACAGCCGGAGAGCCAAAGCCAATGTCACAGTTGTTGTCATTACGGACGGACGCTTTGATCCAAGAGACAATGATGAGCTTTTAAAATCTCTTTGCGAGTACGACTGCTGCTCTTTTTTCTGGTTTATTCTTTTGTTTGTTTTGACTGAGAAGTTCATACAAATGTAAAAAAATTACAGTCTGATATAAAGCTTGAATTTGTTTTCTGTGTATTGATTCATGTTAACAGCAAACCCAACGTTGATGTGAATGCCATCGGTATTGGAGACATGTTTCAGCAGGCTGAGGATAATGAGAGTCTGAAAAGCATTGTCTGCAATAAGCCTGGCAAAGTGTTGGGAATGAGACGGTTTGCCGATCTCATCGCAGAGGAATTCTTAGACAAGATTGAAACCGTGCTCTGCCCTGGTAAAATAATTCAGTAGACAAGTACTATATTTACTGCAGGGTCATTTTGAAGATTGTTTTAGAGTTTGCTCTAAACTTTTTTTTTTTTCTTTTTCAGATCCTGTCATCGTATGTCCTGATCTTCCCTGTAAAACAGGTAAGACTAATAATTAATTGATGCTTATACAGTAGGTATGGAGAACCCTGGTTTTTAATGCTTGGCTTGTCTGCAAGGAAGCCTTAAGCTCAACTTCATCGATTCCAATTTACTAAGTGGAATCCAAGTATTAAAAACACAAGACAGTATCTATCAAATGTTTAATTCATTCATAATTATGGCTCAAAAACGAGTTTCTCAGACTATTTGACCGATATAAAAAATACATTTAGATCGATGGGTTCTCTGCACAAATCTACTTTCTGGTATTTGTGGAAGCTAATTTGTTTCCTGCATTTCATTACTAGACAGGCTGATTAATCCAGATGTGCCTAACCTCAGTAATCATTACAATGATGGCCAGACACACCTGGATTGATGAGTTCAGGATGTAGTGGAGTTGTGCATAGAGCCCATTCATTTGGCCTAGATAATCATAAGGAATACTGCTGACTTAGATGTACGGCAGACAGTTGCTGGCTTGCCCCATAAGAACGGTGAACCACTAAAGGTAATTGCTAAAGAGGCTGGCTGTAAACAGTGTTGTATCCAATCAGTGGTGGACAGTAACAAAGTACATTTTCTTAAATACTGTACTTAAGTAAATTTTGTGAGTATCTTTACTTGAGAAATTTGGGGGGGGGGGCTTATAACTTTCCCCCCATTATATTTCAAAGTCAACTTTCTAGGAAGCGAGGTGTCTTGTTCCTTGTGGCTCAGCTTAGCTTTTTTAATCTGCTGCTGTGGTTTTTCTTTCTTGAAATGCATTTGGCCATAGAATTTTCTCACAGACTTCAAAGGTTATCCTCAAGAACAGGTATCCTGGATGGTTTTTTTTCCAACACTTTTTTTTTTGTAGTTTGGGGAGTTTAAGGTGTGATTTGTTGCAAGTCGTTCAGTAGGATGATTTCTCAATGCAAGAGTTGTAGTTACTGTGTTATAACAGATTCAACCTTAAATCTCTACTCCATAGTGAAAGTGTGATGAGAATCAAGACGAGTCATTACATCAGGTGGTTGCTGAAAGTTAAGAGGTTCTGTAATATCACCCTGAAAATTATACAGCAATGTACATATATAAGAAAATATAATTTTTACTTTTGAATACTTAAGTATTTTCCATAATGTGTACTTTAGTACTTTCCCTTGAGTAGATTTTTGACGGAGCAACTTTTATTTGTATTTGAGTAAGATATGACCGTTTAGTAAAATTCTTTAACTCAAGTACCATAGTTGAGTACTCTGTCCACCACTATATCCAAGTATATCACTAGAAGATTGAGTAGAGGGAAAGGGGCTTTAAGAGGGTCAGTATCCAAACAACAAGTAAAAATCACAGGCTTTTTAATTAACATTTGGCCATATTTAAGACAGCGGTTTTGTTTTAAGTTGCTATAAGCTATAATCATCATTGATATAAATATATCATTTTTTTTTATTGTTATCAAGTAACTGTATTCCAAATTGCACGTATTTATGGGTATGACTGTATCATTTTCAATATGTTCCAGCAGGGGGCTGTAAACAGTCACATAGTTTTTTTGTACATGAGACAGGCCCTATTTGTCCTCAACATGCTTTACTTACATCAGTTTTAAGTGAATTCTTAACACATCAGACACAGTTTAATGTCCAATCACATAAACAACTGGACCAGAAAAAGCATTTATATTTCATAGGTCTCTGGATGTTGTTGGGCTGTCTTGGCTGACACGCCTCTTCAACATCACGTGGCGGTTTTGGAACAATGCTCCTGAACTGGCAGAGTGGCATGGTGGTTCCCCTACATAAGAAGGGGGACTCGAGGATGTATTCCAACTATAGAGAAATCACACTTCTCAGCCTCCACAGGAAGGCCTATGCAATTGTACTGTAGAGGATAGTTCCTCAGTCTCTCCAGGAAGGCCTATGCAACGGTACTGGAGAGGAGAGTCCCTCAGCCTCCACAGGAAGCCCTATGCAATTGTACTGTAGAGGCTAGTTCCTCGGTCTCTCCGATAGGCCTATGCAAGGGTACTGGAGAGGAGAGTCCAGCTTATTTTCAAACCTTGGCTTCAGGAGGAGCATCGTTATTTTCATCACGACCATGGAACACGCTCTGCCGGGTGTTCTAAGGTGCTTGGGAGTTTTATGGACCTAGCATAGGCATTTAGACATGTTCCTCATGATGCCTTGTGGGGGACACCCCAGGAGTCTAGAGTCAGAGACCTTTTAGTAGGGGCCATTCAGTCACTGCACAAGCAGAGTGGGAGTTTGATCTGCATTACCCACATTACGTTGGTCCTGTTTCTAGTGTCCTGTTAACAAACCCTCTGTCACTATATACAGATCAGTGCAGATGCAGCTATAATCTGGATGTTCTGCCAAGAAAGATTTAAGCCAATAGGCAAAGCTCTCAATTTACAGGTCTATGTTCTTACCCTCAGCAATGGTCAGAAAATCTTGATCATAATCGAAGAATGACATCCAAGATACAAGCGGGCCGAAATTGGGCTTTCTCCGCAGATTAGATAGGCAGTCCCCTAGAGATACAGTGAGGAGTTTGGTTATTGGGAGAGGCTCGGAGCTTCTACTCCCCAATGAGACAAGTCAGCTGAGGTGGCATGGACATAATTTTTGGATAGCCCCAGAATGCTTCCCTTGAGAGGTGTTCCAGCCACATACCATCAGGAGGAGGCCCGTTATGTGGCCCAGGACGTGATGAAGGGACAACTTCTCTCAGCTGGGCTGGGAATGCCTCGTGCTCTGTCCAGCTCTGCTGGTGGAGATGTCTAGGAGTGTCTCCTCTGACTGCTACCAAATGACCTGGTCCTGAATAAGAAAAACGACAACAACAAAATGCATGTGCCTTGCTAGACCATTCACAATTTTCTGAAAATGTGCTTTAATGGTTCAAACCAAAGTCAACCTCTGGTCTATTTTGGCCGACCCCAGCAATTTGGTGGGAGTGGCATGAATCTGAAAGAAAGATAGACAGTAAAAAAAAATACACATCCGCTTTGGAGAAAATACAAATTAAACTCTCTAAATCTCAGGTTACCCAACAGGTTTGCCTGGTAATACGTGTAGCAAGCTGAGTAGAATTGAACATGAACAATCAATGAAACATTTTACAAAACAATGCAAGATTCGTGGTAGGAGATCAGAAATACCCTAAACAGATAAAGTGAAATAGCCATCATCTTATTTGAGCTTGTTAAAGTACCGAACATGCTACCTGGCTTGTTTATTCTGTCCAATGAATACTAGATCTGGTGTGACCAGTGGTTCCTAGAGGGGCCCTCTGCACAGCTAACATTACAGAAAAAAATTAATAGAGTCTGATGTGAGGGGTCTGTTCTGCCCTTTAGGTCTATTGGTCAGAAGATAGATATTTTTCTATTATATAATCTCAGTTCTTTGACTGGAGGCCTTCTGCCTTCTCCTTTTCAACACATTTGGAACCATGCTTATTCCTGCTTACAGTGCTCTTATTTATGCTGGTAACAGGTCCATTGTCCAGATGTGAGTAAATCATTGAGTTGCAATTAATTTTGAACCAACTCGGTGTACAACCAGCATCAAAGCTGGATCTGTTGATGCGTTTGTGGGACCTCTCCCACAATGTTGTTCCACCTACTTGTTGCAGGAGGGGGCATCACCGTAAGGGAAGCCCCACCCCTCTGGAAGCCACTGGCCGAAGAAGGCAGTCCCTCCTTAGTCCCCACCTCATTGGAGAGTGTGGCCAGCCTGCTGAGCAACCTGAAAGAGCAGCAGTACGGTGTTGGCATAGCAACCATGGCGTACACTGCCCAGAGAGCCAAACTCACCCAGGGAGTGGACAGAGAGCAGTGGACCAAGCTGTTCATCGAATCTTTTAAATATGTTTATAGAGATCTTATGGGAGACCCCGAGAAAGCAATCGGGCTGTGTTAGTGCTACAGTGCTAACCTTGCTACCTCGCCTTAATGACATTGACTAATAAGCTTGCTAGAATGACAGATTTCTGTTTGAATAATGTTTACTCACCAGGTGCAATACATATACAGGCCAGTGAAAAGAACTGCATGAAGCTTTGTTAGCGGCCAATATTTGGGTACAAATGTGATAGAGGAAAAAAATAGCTATGTCCTCACCAAGAATATTCTTGATATAATGTGTTTTCTGTCTCCCAGGATAAAAAAATTTGTTAATTATGCATACATACAATGTTTTTCCATATGTGTCGAGAGTCACTTATAGTTAAAATGGAAAACAGATGTCATCCATTTGAGGGTGTCAACTGTAGAGCCATTCATGTTACATTTGTATAGTGGCCCTGTGATGAAGCCTCATTTCCACTGTGAATCATCGGCTCGCTGAATCACTCCAAATGTTTCCCCCTTTTTTTGCTGTTTTGCACATATCCATGGCTACAGCCCTTTCTTTTATTCCCTGTGAGCTATTCATTGTGGTTACATGTAATTACACTTGGAAAATATCAGTTCTATAAATATATATCTTATGATTCTATGCATTAGTCAGATTTATTTTGATGTGTTTGTTGGGATGATTTGCTTTGCTTTAACGGAGAAGGAAATATTGTATGTTCCTCTCTTGGCTGGTGCATGGTTTTTTACAGCATGTGGCCTGATCTGTAAAGAAATGACCACCTTGTAGCTTTAAGGGGATGTTATTTACCAGCTCAGTGACTGCACTATTAAGATGCGAAGAAAGTTGTTCTGAGTGTAATGGAATGTAGTTTTTATCTGAAGAAAATAAAATGGCAGAGCAAACTCAAACAATGCTGTTTTTGTTGAAAATTAATACCCTTGTTTTGCTGCCAGCACGTAAAGAGTTTCGCATGTTACTGAGATCTTTTTCCCAGCCTTAACCTCTGAACATCTGTGCTCCAGCTGTTGCTGACTGAACACTACGCTGTGTATGTGTGTGGGTCTGTTTCAGAGCCTGCTGTGGCTAGTTGTGTCCAGAGGCCTGTGGATTTGATCTTCATGCTGGATGGTTCTGAGAGGATGGGCCAGGAGAACCACAAGAGAGCCAAAGAGTTCATTAAGAGAGTGGCACGTCGCCTGACCCTGGCTGACGGCCCGAATGATGACAGCAAAGCCCGTCTGGCCCTGGTGCAGTTCGGCAGCGCACAGGATCACAAAGTAGAGTTCCCACTTACTCATAATCTAACAGTGATCGAGGATTCAGTGGATGACGTGAAGTACCTGGATTCCTCGTCTGCTCTGGGCAGCGGTATCATCTATGCTGTAGACAGTCTGGAGCTCAGACAGGTACTGTACATTTCAACAAACCACTTAAAAGCCCATGCTGTTTCACAATGAATCTTCAATGCATTTTAACATTAAGCTTAACATTTAAACCAGGATTGTGAGAAGCATCGATAATCCTCAGGAAAAAAATGTTGAAGGAGGTAGATGCCATTTCACACTTTCATTTTATTTTTACAGTTTGTTAAACTTCTCCCGTTACCTACATAAGAAAACACTTCAAATTCAAAAACTATATTACATATTCCTTAGTATGGAAGCAGATTGACATGTTCATCGTTTCAAACAAACAAACACAGAGTTGAAGGTTTGATTTTATTTTATTATGCTTATTCATAATTTAGGCTGATTTGTAACTGCATGCCACATTTTCATTGCAAAATAACAAAATGCTGAATCACTTCAATTAGGCCAAGTAATAGAATTACACCTTTACACAAATAAAATAACTTTTATTTCAGTTTTGTTAACCTCTATTATCAAAACCGTGGGAGTACTCAACTACTCTGCACTCAACTTATATATATATATATATATTTGAGCATTTATTTCTGATTTTATGCATGTCTACATGCGGACACTCCCTCTGACTCACTCTCAGTGTTAAGATACCACAGTAAGAGAGATAGAGATGGATTAAGGATAGTTTTTTTTCATCTATCGCACTCTAAAATAAGTCAGAAATAAAAAGTCATTGACTAATAAATTTACTCTTGTTTTATTGGATGTTTGATCCCATAGGTCTTTTCAACATCTTACCATTTTAAATTGGGTGTAATTTAATTCAGTTTATTTCTATTGCGCCAATTCACAACACATGTCATCTCAAGGCGCTTTGCAGTTCACCAGATCATACAGTCAAATTGATTAAAAGTTTTCTATCTAAGGAAAACCAGTTGATTGCATCGACTCATTAACTCGAATACAATCCCTCACACTAAGCATACTTGTAGCGACAGTGGAGAGGAAAAACTCCCTTTTAAAAGGAAGAAACCAAAAGCAGAACCAGGCTCAGTGTGAGGGGCCATCTGCCGAGGGCGACTGGGGTTCAAGGTGACAGAATTAGAGGTACAGAAAGCAGCTGTAAAATGCTACTTAGCCAGGTAGACGAGCTCCGAGCCAACTCCCATGCCAGAGGATGAAGAAAGCAGTCAGTCACGGTCAGAGAAACAGGACTACACTGGAAAAACCGGCCAATCTCCAACATCTATAAACAAAGGTGTTGATGGCAGCAGCACAGCTGAGATTTCTCTCCAGGATGGCGTCACAGCCAAACAGGAACAGACGAGGCAAAGCTCCTATGAGAAAAACGTTAGAGATTGAAATAACACATTCTTCAGAGTTGGAGAATAAAGATAGAAGGAGGAGGGGTTGTCCAGATAATGTTAATCTAGGTTAATTGTTTTCTTAAAGCAACCCCGTGACACTGACATGATCAGTCTGAACTGGCCTTAAGCTTAAGAAACTCAACTAAAATGTGTTGTTAGATGCCACAGCAGATGTGATCCTTACATGATCAGAAATATTTTTGGTCCTTCAAGACTTCTCAATCTCATGGTCCAAAATTGTCTGCTATCAGATTTCAAAATATGGAGGCAGAATTTCCAAGATTTACCAGATGCTTTCCGGGGCATCAGAAAGCTCCAGGTCTAGCACCCCTAGTGGCTAAAGGTTACTCGGTGTAATAAAATGACAGGGATAAAAGAGAATGTTAAAAAAAAAAAGCCTTGCTAATTTGTGTACCCAAAAATACACTACAGCGGGTAATCACTTGTATGTCTGTACTTTGTCTGATTTGCTAACAAGTTCTTCTGTTTTCATTTTTAGAATCAACGATTAATACGACGCAACGCTGAGATGTCCTTCGTCTTCATCACCGATGGCATCACCTCCCGCGACCAGCTGGACGAGGGCGTGGCAGCCATGAGTAAAGTGGAAGGCGTTCCCACGATTATCGCCTTGGGAACGGACACCAATGAAGAGGTCCTCCACAAGGTGTCACTGCAGGACTCGTCCGCCATCTTTAGAGCCAAAGACCTCTCCATGCTGGAGAAACATGCTTTCTTTGAGCGCTTCATCCGCTGGATTTGCTAGTGAGGAACTGCAGTACTCTGCACAATAGAGTTAGAAACCATTGAACGACAGAGGGACCAGCTCCTTCGGTATACATGTAAAACCCACTCAGAGGCACCACATGTATCTCTGACCATTATCATTCCTGGATGAAAAGCACTGAAGTGGCTCCATATTGTGTTGTTTTAGGGAAGTGAATTTGTCACAAATAAAAAAGCCTGTTCAAGACCAACTCTTCAAACACTTCAGACACACAGAACCAATGTGTCAGTTTAAATGGCTCGTCAGCACTGCTAGAGTAGGAGCCCCAAAAGAGAAATTCATAGATATCGAATGGTATTCACACCAACTATGGTTTTACATTGGTCTTTTTTTTTATATAATGTTCAGCTTGCAGGAACAAAGCTTTATCTGTCATTCTCTCTTTGTCACAAACGTACACTCACTCTCGCTCTTTAAAACGTCAGTATTTACTTTAATGGTGCTAAAAATAATGAGATGATCTGATTTTTTTTTGTACTTCATATGTTACTGCTATTCTTGTAGTTAATTCTGGACATAAAAAAAAAAAACCTAAAATGTTGCCCTGACCAAGAAAGGTTTCAGATGAACACCAAGCAGCTGATGTTAATTACAAACAAGCAGGAAACAATGACATTTTTGTATTACACTATGTTTAAATAAAGACTAAAGTGTGACCCCTTCCATGTGTTTTGTGCTTTGTTTCTTCATTTATCTTGGGTTGATTTTACATAATGGAACATACTATTATTTGTTAACTATATTTACCAGAGGGGCCAGGGTTGGGCCCGTGTGTTTTCATGGGGGCACACAACAAAAGAATAACACACAATCATATTTTTTGTTCCATTGAATTCCATTAATTCCTAACCTATTTCTTCAGCCTAGCTGTGACCTTTAATCTAAACCTAACCATTAAGGGTTCATACATAACCTAAACTCAATTCACACCTTAGACCTAAACCAACATCTAACCCTATGATCTGCTATGATTTATGGAAAATAAATCCCTGCAATGTAAAAAATGCACACTCACAAAAAAAACCCTAGTGCAGCAAGGGTGATTAGTATAATTGAGCCACGAAGCCAAGGTTACACCCCTCTTATCTACTGTAGTAGACAAAAAAATGTTACCTTTTCTTAGTATGGCTAAAGCTTAAAGCTGACTGTAATTTCTAAATAATTGCTAAAGTAAATTGTCTAGGCAAGATATTGAATTGGTCCATGGGAACAAAAATTGATATAGAATGAATCTTAATTGGCTAAATTAATGAGTATTTCTTCCCCTTAAATAAGATAATTCCACTGAACAAAATTGGAAACTAAATAAATAATTTTTTCTTTAAAGAAATGCATTTTGTCCTGAGACACTTTGCCAATGGAACAAGACAATTTACATTTAACGTAAGAAAATAACATTTACATTGTCTTTTTTTGAGTGCATATTATCTAATTATCTTATTTTAAGAATAAAAATACTCATTCGTTTGGCCAATCATCTTATTTACTAATTTAATATTTATTAAATACACTTAATTCAAGAAATGTTTTACTTATTTTTTTCTTTTTAGCAGTGTACATATTATGCACTTGAAATACAATAACAGAGTTATGTTTTTTCTTGTTTTACACTTAAATGAATCCATCTGCAACTTGTCTTTAGTTAAATTTTTCCTGTGTGTGTTTTCAGTACAAGGGCCATAACGTGGGCAAGGACCAGTTCTGCCCTGTTGGTCCCTGTCTAGAACCTCCCATGTACCCTGTAAGTGATGGGCCTAATGATAACCTTGCATCACTTATTCAGGTCTTGGTCATTGAAGAGTAATTCTGCAACCAGGAGGATGTCCACTACCCAGGCCTGTCCTCAGTGTGAGGCTTAGGCTCTGCCAGACTGGGAAACAACATTATCAATGTTGTTCACTTCATGAGGAGAACATCAAGGCTCATGATATCTTGCCATTGTGTGGTGCACGTGGAGCAGTGTGGGGTTAAGGGTTTTGCTCAGGAACCCAGAGTGGAGGAGTGTTCTCCTCGCTGCCACACACCTGGCTTATAATGAATTACCAGGCTATTGTAGCATATGAATTCTGCTAAGGAAATCATGCTGTGCTGCAACAGAGAGTTACGAGAAGCTAAATTAAGAACTACTGGCCTCCTTCAACCTGTTCAGTGAGGTTTGATGATTGTCCACACGGTGGCAGCAACAGCCAGAATGTGAAAGCAACACTCGGCGTACATATAAGAGTAGAACCCGCATTGACAGCGTTCCCTGGGCGCTGACGTGATTTTGGTAGCGCCATCTTGGGGCGGTCGATGTATTAAGGAGGCACAAAATCAGTTTTATTCAGCTTTAACTCGCCGGATATTGAACTAATTTTCAATGTTTCGTTTTTTTGCGAAGACAAACAAATGGTTCAGTGCGTTTAGATATTCTTATTTGTGTTACGAGAATATACTATTCTGATAGAATGCATGTATGTGCAAAGTCACTCATCCATTTTCATTTTTTTATTACTATATACACAAACACATTTATATAGGTATATACAAATATATATACACATATATCTTACTTTCTCTGTCTCTCTCTATCTATAATATTCTATTATTATATTATACATTATTATATTATACATTATAATAGAGCTGTATGCCAAAATCATCCGTATTAAGACAATAAAAGACCTGAAATATTTCAGTTAGTGTGCAATGAATCTAAAATATATGAATGCTCAACTTTTATCATTACATTATGGAAATTAATAAACTTTATCACAATATGCTAATATTGGACCTGTATGCTGTTTATTGAGTGATGTCTTACAAAGCTCTGATGCCTTCATATAGTTATGCCTTGAGCTCTGATGTTAACAGTCCGTTGATTAAAACAAAAATACCCGCACATTTTTTTTCTGCTTAAATCAGCTGGTTAGGGTAGCAGGTGGACCTCCCCAAGATGGCACCCCTACATT